TTTTTTTTTTTTTACGATAAAAACTGAAAATTAAAGATACGCAAACCTGATTTAGGATATGATGCTTTGATACCAAGATGATGAGAACCCCAAAGAGATCAATGAGACCCATAGCATGACAAGGGATTTGTAAACTCTAAGAAAGCCAAATTAGATTTATGATAGGACCTTGACCTGTTGTTTATGACGCAACAAGAACTAGAGGTATAGAGTTGGTTGACGCCACACCCTCAAACGATTAAAAACAAGAATGATAAGTCAGGTTGGAACATCACAAGAATAATCTTAATAGATTTTGTAATGTTCTGGAAAGAACCAAAGAGAAAAGTCTCTCAAAAATTCAGATTCAATAGCTCCCCCCAATTAGGGTTACAAGCCCTTTTGATAAGAACCCCAAAGAGAAGAATGAGAGCCACAATACGACAAGGGATTTCTAAACTCTAGGAAAGCCAAATTAGGTTTATAATAGGACCTTGACCCGTTCTTTATGTTGCAACAAGAACCAAAGGTAAAAACGTTGACCCGTTGTCCATGACGCAACAAGAACCCGAGGTATAAAGTTGGTTGATGCCACACCATTGAACGATTAAGAATGAGAATGATAAGTTAGGTTAGAACGCCGCAAGAATAATCTTGATAAGTTTTGTAAAGTTTTGAAATGAACCAAAGAGAAAAATCTCTTAAAATCTCAAATTCAATCCCCCAATTAGGGTTACAAGCCCTTTAAATATGAAAAAGTAATTCTAATCAGAATAGGAAATTAACTCCCTAAACTCTAATCGTAATAACCACGAATTGGGTCTCAAATAAATGAATGTTCAGCCCAAAATAATACAAAAAACGTGAAAATCATTGAAAGTAAGCTAAAGTAACATGAAATATTAGTTTGTTATAAATTGCGGCAGAATTGCGAGATTTTGACGCAAATTGTGTAATTTAGCATAAATAACCTTAATTAAGCTTCTCTTAAATCTGAATGATGTTTACCATGCCTTGATAATCATCCAAACTTCGATTTACTTGTTGCATGTTGTTATCAACCCAGATTTGCTCAATAAGGCCATTTAAAGCTTCTCGTATCTTCCTAGCTCTAGCTCTCTTGACTAGACCTCTTGGAATGTGTAATGGATCTCTTGACGTGGTACATGTGGGGTCATCTTAATTCCCATCATTCCCTCTCTCCTCAAAAGGATTTGTCCTCAAATCGTCACCTACATCAAAAGGAGAAAGATCAGAAACATTTAAAGTAATACTACCATTATATTCACCAGGAAGCTCCAACTTGTATGTGTTGTCGTTTATCCTTGCAATCACTTGAAATGGTCCATTGCCTCTTGGTTGCAACTTAGAACGCCTTTGTGTAGGGAATCGCTCCTTCCGCATATGCACCCAAACCCAATCTCCAGGTTCAAACACAACATTCTTGCACCCTTTGTTGGCCTGATTTGCATATTGCTCAGTTCGTCGCTCTATGTTTTGTCGCACCTTCTCATGTAGTTGCTTAACCACTTGAGGTTTCCTTTTCCCATCCAAACTAGCTCATTCATGAATGGGTAATGGTAATAAATCCAAAAGGGTGAGTGGATTAAAACTATACACAACTTCAAATGCTAAACAGTTAGTTGCTGAATGGACACTCCAATTATAAGCAAATTCAACATGCGGCAAACATTTTTCTCAATTCTTCAAGTTTTTTTGAATAATCGAACGCAATAAGGTTAACAATGTCCTATTAACCACTTCTATTTGTCCATCAATTTGTGGATGACAAGTAGTTGAAAACAATAGCTTAGTTCCCAACTTTCCCCACAAGGTCTTCCAAAAGTAACTCGAGAACTTAACATCGCAATCAGAAACAATAGTCCTTGGAACACCATGTAAACGAACAACCTCCTTGAGCAGATCAGCAATATTAGTTGCATCATCGGTTTTATGAAATGGAATAAAGTGTGGCATCTTGGAGAACCTGTCAACAACAACAAAAATAGAATCACAGCCTTTTTTCAACCTCGGTAAACCCAGAACAAAATCCGTAGATATATCAACCCAAGGTTTAGTAGGTATCGGTAAGGGAGTATACAAACCATGTGGTAAAACTCTAGATTTTGCTTGTTTACATGTTACACACTTTTTACACATCCTTTTAACATCGCATTTCATATGTGGCCAAAAGAAGTGATCGTTCAGAATATCTAAAGTCTTCCTAACTCCAAAATGTCCCATTAAGCCACCGACATGTGATTCCCTTATTAACAATTCTCTTAATGAACAGTTAGGCACACATAATCGATTTTGTCTAAATAAGAACCCATCATGCCTATAAAACTTATCAGAAGCTGCCTTCTCACATGCATTAAACACGTTAGCAAAATCTAGATCATTAGCATATAATTCCTTAATGTGCTCAAATCCCAATAACCTTGCACTTAGAGTTGAGATAAGTGTGTACCTGCGAGATAATGCATCAGCCACAATGTTTTCTTTTCCTTGCTTGTACTTGATCACATAGGGAAATGTCTCAAAGAATTCCACCCACTTAACATGTCGTCTATTCAACTTTACTTGTCCCTTGAGGTGCTTCAACGACTCATGATCAGTGTGTATCACAAAGTCCTTAGGCCAAAAATAATGCTACCACGTTTCTAAGGCCCTTACCAATGCGTACATCTCTTTGTCATATGTAGCATAGTTAAGTACTGCACTAGTCAATTTTTCACTGAAAAACACAATAGGCTGCCGCTCTTGCATCAAAACAACGCCAATGCCAATACCTGATGCATCACATTCAATTTCAAAAGTTTTAGTAAAATCAGGTAGAGCAAGTAATGGTGTAGAAATTAAATTCTCCTTAATCAAATTGAAAGCATTCTCCTATTCACTTTCTCACTTAAATCTGACACTTTTTTTCACGATTTCAGTCAATGGAGCTGCAATTGTGCTAAAGTCCTTGATAAATCTCCAATAGAAACTTGCCAAACCATGAAAACTTTGCATCTCAGAAATATTCTTAGGTGTTGGCCATTCTTTAATAGCCTTAATCTTTTCTTCATCTACTGCAATTCCATCAGTTGAAACAACATATCCTAAAAAGACAATTTGATTTGTGCAAAAGGAACACTTTTTAAGGTTAGCAAATAACTTTTCTTTTCTCAAAACCTTTAATACCATTCGCAGATGCTCAATATGATCAGTTAAACTCTTACTATATATCAGAATGTCATCAAAATAAACAACCACAAATTTGCCAATGAAAGCACGCAAAACATGATCATTAATCACATGAATGTACTAGGTGCATTAGTTAATCCAAATGGAATAACTAACCACTCATATAAACCATGTTTCGTTTTAAAGGCTGTTTTCCATTCATCACCTTCCTTCATCCTAATCTGATGATACCCACTCTTTAAATCAATTTTAGTGAATATGCAAGAACTATGCAGTTCATCTAACATGTCATCTAATCTAGGAATAGGGTGACGATACTTTATAGTGATTTTGTTGATAGCGCGACAATCAACGCACATACGCCAAGTCCCATCCTTCTTAGGCACAAGTAGCACTGGAACTGCACATGGACTCATGCTCTCTCTCACATGCCCCTTCATGGGTTCTTCAACCGGCTTTTGAAGTTTTTTCGTCTCATTGGGGTTGCTTCAATATGTTGGTCGGTTTGGAATTGTTGCACCTAGAATGAAGTCAATCTGATGCTCAATTCCTCTTATTGGTAGTAAACCATTAGGGATGTCCTTTGGAAACATGTTCTTGAAGTCCTGCAAAAGAGATTTAACAACACTAGGCAAAGAATCATTAAGTTCGTTAGTGTTGAAATAAGCATCTTTATATAGAAGCATAAACATCGGCTACTTTGCAAAGAACGCATCCTTGACATCACTTTCTTTTGCCTAAACACTCACTAATTTTCTCTATTTGTTTTCAACACTCTCAACCTTTTCTCTCTTTTTGGACTCTTTTTTTGTTGTTTTCTCTTTGTTTTTCATACCCTCAAGCTCACTCTCATTTCTCAGCTCACTCTTTTTTTACTCTCAATTGATCCTCATAAACTTGCCTTGGACTCAATGGTGCAAGAAAAATTGTTTTCCATTCCATGACAAATGAATAGTGATTTTTTTGAAGCCATCATGCGTTACCCTCCTATCATATTGCCATGGTCTCCCTATAAGTAAATGTCCAGCATGCATAGGAACCACATCACAAAGTACCTCATCCTTATATCGTCCAATAGAGAATGAAACTAGAACTTGCTTATTCACAAAGTACCT